CCTCCTTCGTGTGGTTGGTCGAGGTGGTGTCGGTGCTGAAGCCCACGGCGGGGATGGTCGATTTCGTGGTGATGTAGATCCGGCCCTTTTTCCCGTTGTAGCGCGCTCGGAAGTCTACCGGCCCCGTGGCGGGGATCTCCTCGTGCGCGGGCGGTACGGCGCCCAGTCTTTCTTTCGCGTGGTGCGAGCCTACCTTTGCGCGCGCGGCGTCGCTCACGATGGCGCTCTTGACAGTCCCCTTGACGGCGCCCTTGATCGCTCCTAGGATCCGGCTGCCCTTGTGGCGATGGCCGTGTTGGTCTGTAGCTCCCTTGGCGGCGTCGATGTCCGGGCCGGCTGTCTCGTGGGCCGTGAAGGGGTCGTGCGCCATCGCGGCGTTCAGTTCTGCGTCTGTCGCGTTCAGGGGCGGTTCCGCGCCCGTGGCTCTCAGCTCGGCATCGGTCACTGCGGCCGGTCTATCTGGCGGCGGTTGGCGAACGAGCGGTGGGGGTGGCAGGGGAGCCTTGTTCGCCTCGCCGATGCGGAGAAGGGTCAGGGTCAGCTGCGCGTTCGTGGGCACGCCCTTGAGCACGGTGTTGCGCATCTCGAGGACCTTTTGCCAGTTGGGGTAGCGGGTGTTCAGCCATCGCAGACCAGGTGTGATGACCGGGTCGCCGAAGAAGCCGAACCCGATGCCGAACGTCGCGCCCTTGACGAACAGGTAGGACGTGGTGAATAGGGAGACGAGCAGCAAGGGCGCGACCAGTGCGGCTAATCGGATCCGGTACGTCTCCTGTGGGAAGGGAGGGGTGGGTGACAGGGCGTTGGCCAGACGCTCGAACGTGTCGGTGAAGTCGGAGATGCCGTGCATGATGGGTCGCATCTTGCTCCAGATCGCGTTCTCCACCGGCACTTTGGTCTTGTCCTTCTTAGCTGACCCCGGCGTGTCACCTTCTGCCACGTCTTTGGCTTCTGCGGCTGATACGGCCAAGTGTGTCGGATCCGGCACACGCTTATCGGCGGAGCTGTCCTCTGGATCCGCCTGCGGGTTCTTGCCTGTAGCGCTTGTGACTACGACTGCGGTGAAGCCGTTGAAGAAGTTGCTCGCTTCTCTGATCGGGAAATGTCAGAAATTACTCCATTCTTGGTTGTGGGATGCTACTTACTGCTCAACGGCCTCGCCCTTGTGGTTTTCCGGGGCACCTGTAGCACTTTCGTGACTGCCTAGGACGCCTGCCTTGGGCTTCTGCACGCCCCCAGTCTTTGAATTGACAAGAGGTATAGGTGCCGGCGGGAAGAGAACCCCTCGAGATTTGGGGTAAAGTATTAGAGTGATTAAAGTGGTGAAGATAAGCGGAGTGATGAGATCAAAGAACCAAGCGACGAAATATGCCTATGTGTGTCGGTTAGAATTGCACATCTCAAGTATATGAGATGTACGTACAAGACAAAAGCAAGCAGTCCTCCTCGTCTCGCGCCACGATCTAAGTCTGGCGACGTGCTTGACAGCTGCCAAAAGCTTGATGATGACCCTAACGCGCAGACATTATTATCAGGCACTGAAGTCGGTATCAAGGCAGGCACTGGATACATACGACATGTAAAGCCTTTCGACTGTCGCTCTCAGCTTATCAGGAGCAAACTCTTCCTCATCCGCGACGTTGAGATCCAGATCTCCTGGTACCGTCGATGTGACTTCTTTCACATGGTACATTTGCTATGAATTGTTAGTGCATACATATCCCTTCTGTTTTATGCCCGGGGATGTCAAGTGTGAGCGTTACCTTATTAAAGCGTCGTATGAGGAGCCAGAGGTCCTCATTTCCTATGCCGCCAACCAAGGGGGCAGGTATATTTTCCTTCTTCTCATTCCACCCGAGGTTGACAACTTCATCTTCCCTGTGATGCTGAGCGACGCCCTTCTCCTGGTGGTCTTCCATGGCTAGCGAATGCGATAACGTGGGTTTATCGCCGAGACTGGTTGCAGTGTTCTGCTCCCCGGGATTCGTGACGGGTTCTGTCGTCGCTGGGACGGGTAGTACATCTGAGAGACCCGTGTATGGGGCTTCGTCCGTGCTGCTGATGGAATCTTGTTCCCTCGCCACCTGTCCAGCGCCGACCATCTTGAGAATTTCAGGATTTACTTTTGGATATATGATTACCGTATGTGTAACGGGACCTCTATGAATAGAAAGAAAGAAGGAGTACATATGAAAACAAAAGCAGAAGTGAGATCTAGATTACCGAGATCTGTGTAAGTGAGATTGCATCCCGCTTTTTCCTTCTGCTTGGGGGGAGCCACATCCCCACTGGCTGCGTCACAGCTGAGCCGGCCCAGCCAGTTCCAGGTTCACATTGTGTTGCTTCGAGTCGCGATTCGCGACCAGTTGAAAGAAAGGGTTCAGCTGTGATGACGTCGAAGGCTGAATTTCCAGCCAGTCTATGGAATTTGCTACCGGTCTTTGCGAAAACGCCATCAGCTTGTGATTCTTGGCTCCGAATATGGCAATTACGTAATCGGGCCAAAGACGTTTGCCCTGCATGTATATGTGCATGGGTGTTGCTATATGTCAGTGAGTCTCTGTTTCCGTTCCTTGTAATTCAAAGATTCTTCTATTTTAACTCTCTCTTGCTCACCTTGAGTCCATTCGAATCTTTGAGTTAGCATTTCAGCAATATTCATTCAATCTGTTTGGAGGGCTGACAGGTCTTCTTCTCTCCATAACAGCATATCCCCTGGTAATCCCCATGCCCCTATCAAGCATTTAAATGCTGTAAGTCATGTCTGCGGCTTACAACAAACTTCATATCAAGATTATGTCCAGATTAGTAGAAGAATTCTCTGAGAAAGACAAAACTGCTGAAGATGATTTCCGACTTTTGGGTCAAGAAACTCTTGATTGAGATTGAGACGCTTCTCGATAGCGTCACATATCACATATGTATGTAACGAGGGAATGCCGCAACAATATCAACGATGTGATCTTCTCCACAAATTGATCTGCCACAGAGGTTCTATGACGACATAGCATCATCACGATTGATACGTGTGTACCTCGAACTCAGTACGTACATTTTGATCTGTAAGTCAGGCAGTGACGAGATGGACATGAGTGCTTTCCATATTACTTAGGTGGAATATGTAGAAACTTGAGCAGCTTTTGATACATTCAATCACCTATATTCTCAAAGATTCATCAACCTCCTCCTCTAAGCTAGATTCCAAGCAAGCCACGAGAGTATCTTGGACCTAGATCGTTTTACTTAATACATTGTAATCGCAGATACCCACCTATCATCGCCAACATGCCTTCAGATCGCGTGTTTCAGCTGGCTGGGACTTGCAACGAGTACTCGTGGGGACAGAAGGGGTCCGACTCCCTGGCAGCCACACTATGCGCAAAGACGCCCGGTTCCGGGTTCGAGATCGACCCCAGCAAGTACTACTCCGAGATGTGGTTCGGAGATTATCCCGACTTCCCCGGCAAGAAGCTCGAGACGGGCGAGCCCCTGGCGGACGTGCTCAAGCGTGACAAGGAGAAGCTGCTCGGCAAGAAGGTCATTGAGCACTTCGACGCGCAACTGCCGTATCTGCCCAAGATTCTGTCGATAGCCAAGGCACTACCCTTGCAGATCCACCCGAACAAGGAGCTTGCTACCAAGCTTCACGAGAAGGATCCAGAAAACTTCACTGACCCGAACCACAAGCCGGAGATTGCTCTCGCGCTGGGCAAGTTCGAAGTCTTTGCCGGCTTCAAGCCACTGGAGAAGATCGCACCTCTCTTCAAATTGGGACCACTGAAGGGAATCGAAGCTGCGTCGACAGAAAGGTGGACGAATGAGACGTTGCGAAACGTGACACGTGAGCTGCTGAAGTTGGACGAGGAGACTGTCAAAACGATAGCGTCGGAGCTTTCAAAGGTCCCGCCGAATGAGCTGAGCGATGCGGCCTATATCTTGGATCTCCTGCCTCGGTTACAAGACCAGTACGGTCCAGAGGATCCTGGCAGTCTCGTCGCGCTCCTCTGCATGAACTTCTTGGTCCTCGATGCCGGCGATGCACTTTACATACCTGCTGACGGGATCCACGCATACCTGTCTGGTGATATCGTGGAATGCAGTAAGTATGGACCTTCTACGTACTTGAAATCAATCGCTAACGCGCATCGAACCCAGTGGCTCGCTCAAACAACGTCCTGAATGTCGGCTTCTGTCCGCCAGCCGACCGCAACAACGTGGATATGTTCGCCAACACCCTCACATTCAAGGCCCACAGCAAAGAGGACGTGCTCCTCCCGCCCAAAACGAGTGAGAGGGGAAAGAACGGCAAGACGCTGATATACAGCCCGCCCATGAGGGAGTTTGACATGCTCAGCACATCTCTCGGGAAGGGCGAAAGCGAAGAAATCACTGCGAGCGACGGACCCGGTGTCCTCATCGTCACTTCGGGGCAGGGCACCCTACGCGCTGATGGGGAGGAGTTTGAGCTATCGGAAGGATACATCTTCTTCATCGCTCCTGGAGTGTCGGTGAAGCTGGAAGCTCAAGATGGATTGCAGACGCATATGGCGGTTGTTTAAGGAATGAGCTCATGAAGGACTACAAATTAGTTATTGAATGCAACACTCTAGCGAATAGCACTTGATCATTCTGTTAAACATGAGGGAGAAGTTGTCTTACTCCTCATCTGCTTGTTTTCGTGGCTTGTGGAAAGTAAGAAAAGAACTTGGGTGTCGACGCGATGCCGCTTAGCAGGCAGCACCGTGCGAAGGAAGACACAGTGTGCAGCACATGTTCTTGTACGAGGGGACACCAGGACGCACTTTCCTGATGTACAATCTTTGCGAGCGATTCCTTCTCTCTTTAATCCTCTGATGCAGAACTAATCCCGTATCGCAAAAAAAAGAGCAGCGCTACACTGTCACGTGTCTTATGATAATAGATAACCAAACAAAAAAACCAGCGCCAACCGGCATCACGACGACCAAGAAAAGTGATGAGAAAATTGCAAAAAAGATGATTGCCTCCACGCGGAATCGAACCGCGGATCTTGTCATACCATCGTAGGATTAAAGCTCCAGTACGAGTGACACGCATTACCCCTGTGCCATAGAGGCTCATTTGGTGATTTTCTCACGTGATGTTGTTTTGGCATCAGTAATGTGGTATATGATATAAGGCGATGTGGGTTTGACAATTTTTCGAGAATTACGATCACACCTTAGGTTACACCTTTTATCTTGCACTGGGGTGGATGAGGTTCTCAGTAACGCCAATGCTCATATCACATCACTCAGCGGCTCATCTCCCCGATGTCTTCATCTAGGAAGTCTCGCATCATGCATTCATTCATCGCCTTTTCCGATAGCGCGACGCGCTGCATCCGCCTCGAGCGAACGAGTCGCGACAGCGGCGACACGCACTATTGATCGCCGTCGTGTGCGCAGGCGTGGAATCTTCCTGTTCGCGGGAGGTAGGCTCGTGTCATGCTTGGTTGTCCTTACTTGATTTTAATCAGAAAAAAGCACAGGCGAGTTCGTAATTCTGTTGCAACGGCAGCGTTCATCTCATCTTCTTGTGGGCTTCGGCGCCCTTGAAAATGGGTCCTCCTGCGGTATGTGTGAAAGTTTGCCATTCAAAATCTCCTGTGCGCTTCCTTGATCTTTTCGTGGGTGTCGAGTCCAAGGTATCGTGTCCTCGATTGAGGGCGAGAGAGCAGCCCCCGCTCCGACGCCAAATATATTGCAGGTTCGATCTCCCGCTGCGAGGAAAATGGTTAACGTAGATGGGTCTCCGGTATGTATGTTAAAGGTGGCCGGGAGCTTTGATGAAAGGCTTCTATTTTTCGCCTATCGGCCGGGAGAAGACGCCTGGCTGATCCGACTACAGCCTAATGTATGAATAGTACATACACCTTGTCTAAGCACTTCGTTACAAGTCCCTTCAAGGCTGATGAGGAGGGTCGGAACGCACATTCATGCGCGACGCCGAGTATGTGTTTCCTATACCGACTTCTAACTTACTGTAGTCTATAGTATAATACTGCACTTCCTTACTCTCATCTGTACGCCCGATAATATCCCGTGGTCATCTTTTCAGCTCATATAATCTCATACCTCGTAACCTCCCTCCCTTCCGGCGCTGAAAGCATCTCCCCGTCCATGACCCCATCACAGTACACCTCCCCCACATACCGCCACCTCAACCCCACGCCACTATTAACAGAATCACAACATCTTAACGCAAGCGGCGTACTCCCACCCTTGGCAACCACAACAACATCCCCTACCCCCAAACTCTCGGGTCCTAGCCCGACAAACCCGTTATCCGTGGCAAAGACCCTGCGCCCGGCATTCCGGAGCAGGTTCGCCGTGTACTCGTTCCACTCCTCGGAGCGCACGTCCGCCATCGATATGCCGCCGACCCGCATCAGCACGCTCTCGTCGCTATCCGCGTTCTGCAGGTTCATCTTCCGCCGCATCCGGCGCGCGCGGCTCCAGGACGCGTACAGCCGGACTTTGGCGCTGTACCAGAGCACCTGGGCCACGTCTGCGAGGGCGAGGACGAAGCCGGTGGCGAATGTCTTGAAGGCGGAGATGGGGTCCACGGCGCAGCGGCGCAGGATGTTGATGGCGCTAAGAGGGGTGAAGTACCACGGTAAAGAAGAAGCGGTGGAGCGGATCATGCCAGAGAATGTGCTCATGGTGCGCGTGTTGGTTTCGATGCGTAGCAGGTTGCCCCCGTATACGGAGATTTTCTTGTACACGGAGTGGAGCTTGGACTGGGCAGTGGAGAGGGAGTGGTTTGCGAGGAATTCTTTGGTCGAAAGACCCCCGTCGGAGATGCAGGCTGTGGTGCATTCGAGGAGGTGTTGTGCTTTGTCGTCTTCGGAGTTGGATATTTTATCTGCTTGTTGTTCTTGAGGCAGGAATCCTCCGCTGTCAGTCGGATTAGAAGCGTGCAGCGAAACTCGCGAAGCTGATTTCAGGAACTCTTCAACCTCTTGGAAGAACAGGTGCGCGGATATGTAGTCTAGGTTATCGGTGACCGAGGTTGGATCGCTCGTGATTCCCCTCGTTCCGACGTTCGTCACGCGGCCGACGTGGATTGCTTTCAGTTGTAAAGTGCCAGTCGACGCATCCACATCGACGTCGTCACTGGACTGCTGGCCTCCGGCAGAGAAAAGCGGTGTTGTAGGGTTAGTATACCCATGAGGTGTACGGAGTGGGTCAACAGACCAGTCCGGTACCCAGGACGGCAGCCGATATCCGGCTGTCGGTTTGCCCCGTGACTGCGCAAAGAGGAGCACATCGACGTTCCTCTTCACAACAGAGGCGGCAAATTTAGTATACGTCCCCGCGACGTTATCGACCTCCATCCCCTCGACCGTCTCCCTCATGACTTCATCATCAGCCGCTGCAAGACCAAGCAGCGAATAAATACGATCCTCCGCCTTCGTGGCTCCCAATTTTGGCGTGACATCGTTGACATTATACCTCAACACGAGATCATACAGCGGGCTGCGCTTTCTGACCGTCGGGACTTTACTATGGATATCGTTATGGATAGCCCTCCTCTCGATCAGGATGCGGTGGAAGGGCTTCGTGAGATCGAACATCTTCTCGCGCGTGCGCACCTCGTCGCGCGAGACCGAGGCCGTGTTGTAGCGCGCCCAGTACCGCGTGCAAACGGCGTAGAAGAGCAAGATGCCGCGGAAGCAGTCGAAGCACAGCGACAGCTCGCCGCACCGGAACGTCAGTTCGGGCGGGAGACAGCCCTCCTGCACGGTCCAGAGGCGGCCCATCCACGCCCGGCGGAGCACCTCGGCCATGCCGCGCAGGGGTATCCGCGGACCGTACCGCGTCACTAGGTCTAACAGGTCGTCGCGGTCTTTGATCTCGACTTCCGTCTCTAGGGGGATGCTCTGGTCCACGACCGCGTCGAGGACTTGCACGACGTGGGACCTGTGCGGGCCCATCACCCTACACAGAACCGCCTCGCGGCTTAGCTCGGTCGAGAACTCGTAGTAGCGACGCGTCTCCTGCGTCTGGGGCCCGAGCCAGACTATAGCTCTCGCGCTGCGTGAGTAAATCTCGCCCATCAGTCGCACCTGCTGTATCTTCTCGTCCGGATCGGCCTGGTTGATGCAGATCTGATCCGCGAAGATGGGGCGACTGATCCCTGCCTCGCTCTCGCGGGCTAGACTCAACAGTGCTGCTTCCAAGGATGCGGATATGCGCAGCCTGCGACACTGAGGAGCAGCATCTCTACTGCCATTGACGTTGGGGCTGCAGGGAGGAAGCCAGATGTTTACGTCTCTGTCTGCTATGTTGGGACCCCAGCAATAAGAGAGAGTGTCGTATGTGCCGACGTGATCGTCGACATTAAGCTCTAAAATCTCCACGTTCAATGTTTCTCTTAACAGGGGGTAGAAGGAACGTGTTGAAGGGAGGAACCGAATGACCCGGAAAGTCCTCGCCGCCGACTGCAGGCTCGAATACTCATACTGTGGGGATCGGAGGGATATGGGCCAGGCCATGCTTCACTCCAGACATCAACCTTTTCTGGTATTCGAAATGAATGCATAGAATGAGGCATCGTGACTCCTCAGATCCATTCGCACAAGAGATGCCGATGATGGCGGAGCCGTCAGCCTGTCCAAGATGCCAAGGCACCAACTCTCAGCTGCAGGGGGACACGGTATCGTGACCGCCAGTCTAGACCTTGATGGCCTTCGCAACTCTTGGACAACCATGGCTGAACTCAGCGTGGCAATGTGTTGTCGATCCCAAAATCTATCAATGCGCACCATACCAATGAAACAATAGTATGTATCCCTTTGAGCGCCATTTCGGCTACAATCTCCACAAATACGGACTGTAGATCGCGAACAGGGTATAAACAACAATGAGCAACGCCTAATTGGAGATACTTAATCTCCTACCTAATTTTGCCTACGCAAAAAGTACCAGAAAACATCTAAGTTACAAATTGCTACGCCACACTCTGTGCGGCCACACCCTCTACATAGTGGCATAAGTGGCAAAGATGGTACTGGTAGCGTACCTACGTGTTGCTAGGTAATGTGGAGACCACCGGGTCAATTTCCGGTTGTAGCCGAAATGGCGCTCAAAGGGATACTTCGACCTTAGGTACAGCCTACTGATGTTTGAAGTTTTTTCAACCAACAGGAGCTGTCCGGAAGCCGTTAAACAGAGCGCAGTCGCAGTCGGATTTCCGTCATAGGCGTGCACAACGCGAGCATCCATCATCCAATGAGCAACTTGGTTTCGTGGTGTAGTTGGTTATCACGTCAGTCTAACACACTGAAGGTCTCCGGTTCAAGTCCGGGCGGAATCATCATTTTCTTTTGCCCTGTGTGTCCGCAGGGACTCGATGACTTTTCTTTTTGTTGTTTCTATGATCAATGATACTTAAGAGACAAACCCAATTAACGTTTTGTGCAAGCTCTCAAACAGCGTCTCTGGCACTAAACCATTTTGCCAAATCGTGAACCGCCCGTTCTTCTCTCTTCCCGCTCTTGGAACCCTATTGAAACGCACCAACATCTTACTTATCCGCAGCATCCAAAGGCTTCTTCCCCTGCTCCTCAACCACTTTTCTCTTGCTCTGAGCCGGCTTGTTCGGGTCCTGCTTGAAGGCTCCCTGCGTGCTCGTGTCCTCGGTCTGCTGCCCGACTTTCGCTCCCTTGGGATTGCTCACGGGGTTCTGGATGCTGGCCGTATCAGGCGAAGCCGTTCCCGTCCCGCGCGCCCGCTTCACACCTTGCTCCTCGGCCGACGCGCTGCCTGGGTTCCCGACGTTGGACGATACGCCTGGCGAGGCCTGCCCGTGGGAGGGGTCGATGTTCTTCTTGGACGCGTAGGAGCGCGTGGCTGTGGCTAGATGTGTTAGTTCACGGTGCGCGCTCACAGGGCTGCGAGTAGCCGCCACGGTCAATGAGATGTTCTTACCCAGAGACACTCGAGGGAGCCTTGACACGGTGGCGCGGGATGCGCGGGAGAACACTGAGAGGGATGACATTATGATGGACAATAGGATATATTATTGAAGACTTATTGACAAACTTTAGAAGGACGAGGGAAAATTGAAGAGAGTGTTACATCCTCGGGCTGTAAGTGCTGGCTGTATTGTAACCTGATCTTTCTGTACATGTGCACAGGTTCATGACGTAGTCATGATGCATCATCTTGTGCTCTGCCATAATTCCAACATGCATGTGCATGTACATCTCCCTGTATGCTTGCGACATAGAAATGGCCATACCTGGCTCTTGAGAACCCAAGGACAAAAACATCGAATTTATCCCATCAAACTCCTAGAAAGTGTACAAGTGCAAGGTGGTAAAGCAAGGTTCCAGCCCAGAATGCGAAATCAGTAAAAGCAACAATGTGTTTACAAGGGAAAGAGAAGAACAGAAAGTCAAAAGGACAGAGGGTAACGAGATGGTAAAAAAAAGAGGGTGTTATCCAGACTTGAACAGATGACTTAAACATTATTAAATGATAAAAAGCAAAGGAGGTTATTAACCTCGCGCCCCGAAGGAATATGTATTCAGATGGTTTCAGCTACTTTGCTGGTTACTGCCTACGCTGCTTAGGTTTATAACCTTCAGGGTCACAAGGTTGCTGGCTACTTGAGTTGCCAGTTGCTTCCAGTTGTCTTGTAGTGATACAGCTACCAGCTGATTTATTACAATATACAGGCTGTACAGCAGCACAGCACTACTGCCTTTTGCAATTATCAGGCAGTACACCTTTATTATAAATGCAATTGTGGATACTGCAATATGTGTGGGCTTTACAAGTAAACAAACAATAGGACAGGAAAGGAGACAAACCATCAACCCAAGATCGTGAGCAAGATGAAGAACACTGTTAACACAAAGTCACAATGGCACAGTGGCACAACAGCACATCCACCTCGGGGTCATCAGTGGCCAATATGCAAAACTACTGGTGGCAAAGATAAATTAGAGAGATACAAACGATCTGCTAAAGGTCGGCTATTATTCTCCTAACACAATGTGTCCCTTGCCATAACCCCCATTTACCAGACTGTCGGTTTGGCCATGCTCCCTGTCTCGGGTGCTGTTTGTTGTGGTGAACAATAATGGTACAGTGCTCACTATTTCTGCTGTATGCGGGCTTATAATTTAATACTTAACGCCTTTCTGTCGTCGTCGCCCAGATCTTCTCGACCTTTCCAAATCATCAAGAAGTTGCAATCTTCAACTAGTCTGAACTTGGCTTGCCTCTTCTCGATCAAATCTGTACCTGCGTACGAAAGGCTCTCGTCATAGTCCATCCGATTTCTCATTCCATCAAATTACAAAAGCCCTAAAAATGGACGCTCTTGATAAGGTCCAGGATATGTCGGTGGAGGGGTGAGAATAATCCTCTATCTTTTGAACACAACATGCTGATACTAACCATCACGTTGACAGCGGTACATCCTGGCAAATTGTTACTGTCCGTGCTGGCGATGACTTCCACTCGAAGACTTTCCAAGTCCATTTACAGCGGCTGGGTCCCTGGGCAACCAAGCTCGACTTTATGCCTGGCATCCAATTCTGGTTCTCCGCGGAGACCCCAGAAACCTTCAACCTCGCCATGAACTGGAGTTACGGCTTTGGCCTACCGCGGATCCCATATCTACACAGCCACTCCCCCAGGGCCCTGTTCAACCTCACTATTAAAATGGATGCCTTGAAAGACAAGATGCCAAGCGCGCACCAGTTTGGCCCTCCTGCGTCGCTTGCTCCCGATGGGACAAAAGAGATATGGCTTTATCACACCATCGTGACAATGCCCCCGTATTCCGCTTTCTCTGTGGAAGAACTGCGTCTCTTTTACACAGCCGACACAGCTCCTCGGGCTCCCCGCAAGGAAGCGGCCTCCATTATAGGACCGAAGCCGCAGTTCCCACCTAACATCATGAGCATCCCTGCCACGATACCAGACTCCGAGGCGACGCGCGCCGAGGCGATTCAGGTCGAGTTGCTGGAGCTCCTCCTGTTCGCCGAGGGGTGCAAGTGGGAGCTCCTGTTCAACGAAGCCATGGAGGCGTTTCGGTACGGCGAGACCCAGCTGCGGCGCCTGTACGTGCCCGAGACATACGTGAAGCGTGTCTTCACTCCCGAGTACCGCCCCCGCTGCCAGACCCAAAACTTCATCGGCGACTACGCCCTCGACCTCGCCTTCGAGTACAAGCACCTGGACAAGTACAACCCGATCATCGCGAGCGCGCCCGGTTTCTTCACCTTCCTGGACGAGTACCAGAAGACCGCCAAGCCTATGAAGACGCATAGAACGAAGATGGCATATCATATCCACGGCGGCAAATACGTGAAGGATTGTGATTGCCCCGTTGCGCGCGGGCAAACCACGTTCCCCAAAGTCTGACGAGCCAAGCCGATCTTTGCCGATCTTTAGCCTCCCGGTTCGGGGTTTGGAGATTTGTAGATCCAACCGCTGAGTCAATGGGGTTGTACTTTCAGCATTTACAACAGTACCAATGCCTCAAAGCAGAGGCTCCACTCCATCGGCCCTACCTCCACTCTCATGAGCCGCAGTATTACGGAACAACATACGTGCCCTTGATCTCTAGAGGAAGAGAGATCGACTGGGAGAAAGATTTGTCATATAGACTTTCCGATTGCTGGCTAGACTAGAACACTGACGCTCCTTTGCGGCTTTGAAAGCGGCCATAGTCTTAATAGGTGACCTCTGGAGACAAGTTCCGCCCACCGCAAAAGAAATACGAGCTGTTAAGAATTCTATATCTATTTTTCTCCCTGGTTTCTTAGAGAAGCAATTGTGAAAGTGACCATGTGAAGCACCTACAGTGGTGTGCTATGAAGCATAACCTAGTAGACGTTTTGAGTACATAAATGCCGTGGAAACTACCCCCCTTGCACGATTCTGGAAGAACCGTTAGGGATCATATAACTTCGCTACCTCTCTCAATTGCCGCCCTATACCCGCTTATTATATCTTGCCAGTCGGCTACGTAGTTCAGGTATTTCAATTTTCTGTAGCATCGCCAACTAACCGACCAATTGCCTCGGTAAGCTCTTTGCGACCTCGACTCTACTGTCTGAGAGCCAGTTGACGTCTTCTAATATAATGACAGCACAATATGTTTGTGCGCTCTAGAAATATTGGGAAGTCCCATATCAACACCCAGATACGGGACCAAGACTGGATACTTACTTGGGAGGGAGAGCGCGTCTTTTTGGGGCTTGGTCATGGCCCTATGATATTCGCAGACATCGCGTACATAAAGTAGTTTACCGCAATAGCTGCTGTACAGGCAATGCGACACCCGGATATGACGAGTGTCAAGGGAGGAAAGCATGGTGCAGTCCACGGCAATGCCTGTCCCCAGTATTAGACGTGACAAAAGGATGTCAGGAAAATGTTTAATAAACGCGAAGTTTTGATGAAAAGGAAGTCACACCGTTACAACTAACCTACTATCTATATTCTGGAACGGGAGCCCGGTGCTGATAGGACGAACCTAAGTACAACTAATGCATGTCAGCATCGCGCTAATGTACCTAGGTTACGCGGCTCTAGCCGGTGAAGGATCGGAGATCATCTAGATACTGGTATCTCTAGCTACATCAAGATAACACGTTAGGTTAAGCCAGTTGTTGTGCTTCCTTGTCCTGACTCCTGATAGATGGGAGATTTAGCGTGCCAAGTATACCATTTCAGTACCGTGCTGTAGACTACTTGACAGGAAAAAGGGGTAGGTGCCAAGGCATGCTAGTTTGGTATAAGTGACCGAGTGTTAGCATCTACAGATCCTCAAAGAGATGTGGTCATGGGAACAAGTCAGTCAAGAGTGAATTCGAGGCAAGCAGACTCTGTATTTTATGTGGGTTTAGGTCTACAAGTTCGATGAACACGGTTAATGCAAGGCACGGCTTGTAGTGCGAGGAGATTAACAGCCCAAGAGCGAGACTGAGAGCACATGCGCCTCTACAATGGCAGGAGTCACATAGGGGGGTATGTAGTGGGAGGGTAATACAGGCCTAGGGACAGGTATACAACATGTGCGGGGGATCCACACACACACTATTTGCTTAGCAGCCAGTTTCGGAGATCCAACATCCCCTTCTCTTTTCAATACAGAGACATTACCCCTAGGTTATATATACTACACCGAGACGCTGGTTTATTATGGTGGGCTGGTGGATGGTCAGGCGGAGGCGAAACTGACCCCTGACTAACAGCTGCTGCAAGCTGCGAGGATAAGGGGCAATCCAGGACGCAGGATCTATCCAAGGAATGGATCTGAGCCTCAGGAAGGAACTGTTGCGATGCTACCGC